TTACTTCTGCCTATATCCTAGCCACCTTGCGGTGGAGGCTCGAGAGAGAGCTCCGATGGCAATATGGAGGGACGAGTGGGTCCTCTGACAAATTGGTGTACGCATTTATGCCACTATAAACTTAACTCTTTGGGATGCAGATTTAAAGTGTGCTCCAAAACGTGGTAAGTCATGGACTCTTGTGCTCTCAACTTCAGTAGAATAGTCACATACCATTCACGTTCACAAAATCAGCAACATAAATATCTGTCTTTAAGCGAATGTTGATATTGCTTAAGGATAAATTAGTACCTATTATTTGAACAGTTTATTGATTTCCCGATTTAAAAAATCCTTAAGACATTGCTATCGGCTGCAGAAAAAGATCGCTTGGCTTTTCCTCTGAATATGTTTTAGCAATTTGCACAGTATACTGGTTGCGTTCCGAGGCTAAACGGAAGCTGCTACTTTAATGCCCTCCAAGTTTGTCGGCCAATACGTCCTGCTGAGCAGGGATGTCTATTGACTTGAAAGTTAAATTTAATTGTGCAGTTCATTTTTATTTGGGAAATAATTAAACATCAGGTAATACCTCCTACAGCTCCCATTCGGCGACTGCACGAAATTCAGGACAGGGCACAGAAACCACTGTTCACCTATGTCAATGAGGCGCGCCTAAACTCCACTCCTACATACAAATGTGAGCATTACTTCTTTACACTTTCATTGTTTTTATCTTTAGGTCGATTTAAGCAAGATATAAGCAATGAGTAATTTTTATTTCCGACCTTGGGACAGATAGCTATGAAATGTTTGAAGACAGTAGACGGTCTCATTTCAAGGTGTAGGTGTATCGACAGCTAGTTGCTGTATCGACAACAGAGGGATCCCCAAATCAAGAGTCAGGCAAGACAGACTTGAGGGGAACGGCTTTACTGAGCTAAAGTTACCCTACAACAGCTGCTGCAGGCCAGTCACTTCGGTGGGGAAAATGTGGTTGTGTGAAGCATTGTCTGCGGAATGAGTGCTCTGTCGGCTGCCGCCAATCAAATGAGGCAGAACTATCGATTAACTTGAAGCGGCGAGCCAACATGCGGTGTGTTGTAGGAGAAGAGCTCGCAGCGAGCGAGGCTTGCCCAACGAGGGCCGCATGTGACAGCGCAGCTCTCACTCTCCGAACCGAACATCGTAGCCCCTTCGGATGGGCCACTTTCGAAACCAGCTCCTGGCCCCGCACCAGTAGACCGGAAACCGCCCCAAACACGCCGGGCCAACCGTGCTCGTCGAAGCCCG